GAAGTAATAAATGGTGGCCCAACATCCGCTAAATTTGAAGGCACTTTGTTCAGGTTTTGACATGAAAGTGTACGAAATCCACACTTACAATTGGTTGGACAAATTCCTGGCGATATACCCATTATGAATGAACTTGTAAATGCTAAAATGAACACCAAGTGCGATATTTCCATGTTTTCCTAATCTATTCCGTATAAGTTCTTATAAGAGAAGTGACGGTATTTGGTATTTTGATTTTATATCGATAAGTTTGCTTCAGTCATAACTTTGGCTACGTTCAGACCTGCGAGATACGCCAGGCGTATCTAACGCCGGGCGTACGTTAATCCATGGCGTAACTAGCGAGATGTCCAGACTGGGCGATTAATGAACGCTAGCGTAAGTATTCGCGCGCATCTTAGTATCTAAATAACCCAAAATTCGAAATTGTTGCTAACCAACAAGTGCCGGTATAATATAATATTTTTCATTTTATTATATTTAGTAAATCAGTGGCGTACGCTAATCTGGGGTCTGTTGCTGGATTACCGTACGCCAGTGATTGCGCGATAATACTGGCGTTCGCTACGCCGCGCACAAGTTCACACCACTCGATTAACGTTACGCTAGCGTAAGTCGTTGTGTCTGAACATAGCCTATGTTGTGAATTAGTTCATTAGTTCCAAGAATATTCTTTTTATCTCTATGGACTCTGCGCGAAAAATAACAGCGCGCAATCAATTGCGTGCGCACGCTCATCTCAACTCATGCCTTGACCTTTTCCGAGGGGTTTGGGTGTCAAATAATCAATCTATCAGAGCAGGGTCTCGTGGTTTTTCATTTATTGGCTCACTTGATATAAAATACAATACGGTATCCAAAGAACAAAAAAAAAAAGAAAAAACCCAAGACTGTTAAAACTTTCAGGAGGTAGCAAATTCATCACTTTCTATGTGGCTCTCCAACTCCTATGCAACATAGCCTTATGTCTGTTTGTAAAACAGAACATAGTGCGTTTCCTCATTGCTACAATGAGAAGTTACTGGATAAAAAGAACTGCTTCGCTGATTTACAGACCTTTTACTACAAACATCCTTAAATTGATTACCAGCCAATTTATCAATAGCACAAAAAAGGTGTATTTACTGTCCGATATACACCGGTATCCTTAACATTGATTTGCTATGCATCCCCTTTAATATAATATTATATAGAGGGGAAACGAATACCATGTATGGACTTCGGAAATACTTTATTGGAGGAAACCAATATTTCGACCTATATTTAGGTTTTTCATTTTCAAGGTGAATGAAAAACTAGTAAAAAAGTAAACGTTTTCTAGACTTTTTGAAAATGTATAAATGTATATTGAGTCGTTCAGAACAATTCGTCGGACGAATTATAAGATTTAGACTGAGCTCCTCCTCCCCTAAGAAATCAACATCTACGGTATTAAAATTGTTCAGATATCAATACATCTAATTGCCGTTATTGACAAATATGCTCAATCGATTTTTAAGGATCCCATTATCCGGTCGCTCTGTGTTTGATCGGTTTTGTTGGCTTAGCGTAGAGCAAACTAGTTTCTTTGCTGACCTATAGTAACAACAGCCTTATTTAATTATTGTACCTTGGAGTCTCGTGAGCAAATATTGCACAATCTTGCGAAATTCTATATTTAGAAAATGATTAAG